CATTTCAGTCATTGGTTATATGGAAAGAACATGCGCACACAATGTTGACCTACAAATTATCCCATAATTTATTTTATAATTCACGTTCACCCTGGCATTGGTACTCAACAGCCAAAACACGTTTATGGAACCCAGAATTTGGTTATGACACAAGGCGAGCCTCTTTAAAAGCATTTGCTTCTTCAGTTCGCGCCTTCATTTCACTCGAATTCCAGTATAATACCAGGCCAAGCAACGGCGTGGATCGGTCGATCGTTGCATGCTGGCCTCCAGGGGTGCGGCCTCCCATTCAGCTAGAGGACCACACCACAAACTTGGGATCTAGTCTCCCCCCCTAACTTTGAGAGAACAGTGAGCCAAATCCGGGTAAAAAACTGCTGTTTGGTGAATTTTGGGCGTGGGCTTCATTATTTATCACGGTTCAGTCCCTCCCCCCCCCCCTTCTCCCTCCAACTCACTTCGCGAAAGTACCCCCCTGAGCCATGCATCATAATATATGCTCAAAGTCTTCTGAATACCTTGCACTCAAAATTGAACACGGGACACGCTTATTACATATGATGGGTATTTGTGTCGCTGCTTGACGTATTCTTGTAGATATGAACGCGAAAAGCGAAAAAGTTAGATTTCCTTTAAAATTGACCTTCCAACTGACAAAATGGGGTCAAATCTTGACCCAGCAACATAAAACTTATTACCCGTCGCGAGCTTTTATTGACGCCAATCCACTAGTGTTTTCCGCTAGTCTCTATCTTTCTTAGCTTGGAAACGGCAAGAGGCAGGTCGCGTATCCCCCTCCCCTCCTTCAGCCCGCGTGACGAAAAAAAAGGCGAAGCAAGGCGAGGGCTAAACTGCACGCCGCCATTTCGACAAGCGTCATTGCTTCCAAGCCGTCTGCACTGAGTGAGACACTGTCGATGGCTCCATAGGATGATATAGATTCATTAATCGAGCGAGTGCGGTGTACTGGCAGCTCATAGCCCCACTACATCAGTGCTATCGCATGCTCGCAGCCGCGATCCTCTCGCGGAACTATAAGTATTGTTTCTCGGGTCGTTGTATTCCAGCCTTACGCTACGGGACGGCGGGTCGCAGTTGCTCCATCAATTGTCCGATGCTCGGTCGAGGCTTGGTTTGAACAACGAAGCTCGTGTCGACCAATGAGCGATGTGAATTGCCGGCCGATAGCGCTCCCACAAAAGCATCGCTTGCGCATGGTCGCGCACGATGCGTGACACGCGCGCCAACATTAAAAGAACCATACCTAGTGTATACTTACCTATTCAGTTCAGAGGGGGCTCCAGCGCTCTCTCCACGACATCTTGGACTCCAGCCCCCAATTTTGAGAGAAATGTTGACCAAATCCGGGGGGAAACTCGCTTTTTGGTGAACTTTGGCCATAGGTTACATATTTTTTCCACGATTCAGCCCTCCCCACCACCCCCACCTACCTCACTTTGCGAAACTACGACCCTTTTGGCCGAGCCATGAGTGTTTATACCGGTGTCGTGTGGGGCAAGGCGGGCCAGACCGGAGAGAAGGCATGCATCACCTCCAGAACGGCACGACACTAACCAGACCAGCCCGCTCTGGATCTGAGTCACGCATATTGAGCAGAAACAGCACAGGATCTAAGACAGTGACGGCCGACTGTGGGAAGTAGGGGAAAGGGGGCGGAGTGGGGGAGGGACCAGGACGGAAGACGAGAAGATAAGGTGGGTAAATTTGATCCTTGTCAGGAGGGAGAGACGCAGACTTACATCAAAACAGGCCGAAGACTATGGCCGGCGGCTGTCTGTGGGACAACGGCAGTGAAAATCAGCTGTGGCGGCCGAATAACTCATTGACGCTAGGTGACTCGCGATGATAAGCGAACCCGGAAATATGCGTTAGCAAAATGCTCATGACTGCTACCTTGGAAATCAGGATAAACAAAATTATCTTTCGCTAGCCAAGGTGCCGGAGTAGCGCCGGAATACCGTAAATATTACTGCATTGTTTCACCGCTAATGTTATGTTATGGAAAAGATATGTCATGTTACGGAAGAGATAGAGAGAGAGAGAGAGAGAGAGAGAGAGAGAGAGAGAGAGAGAGAGAGAGAGAGAGAGAGAGAGAGAGGAGAGAGAGAGAGAGAGAGAGAGAGAGAGTTGAGAGATTATATAATGTTCTTCTATATCTCTTATTCTTCTCTCTCTTCCTCTCTCTATTCTATATATATATATCTATGTATGTTGATTATGTACTTTATGTTACAGTACCCAAAATAACGAACTATCATATCTTCCAGACATGGGCTTAGATACGAAACCGGATCATTCAGCCTGGGATCAGGGTACAACCATTGCATACCACTACTTGCTCTCATCATCGTTCAAATGGCTTGTACATTCCCATGAACGAGGGCGGGGATTTACAGGTTAGAGGTGATTTCAGGATCTAGGGAATTTAGGAATTTAGAACACTGCCTTCCTTCTGGTGGGCTCAGGAGCTCTTGTTTACGATTTCATTCGGTACTTGATATAACAATTTGCCTGACTTCAATAAAAAGTTCCAAAAGTGCGTTTAGCAATTCTATGAACTGCATTTTTGCAATGCGTTTGGCGATTATATAAAGTGCAGCCCAGCGGGTCTAATGCAAGTCAAAAGTAGGCGAAGTGCACGGGAAATAAGAGAAAGCGGAATAATCACAATATTGCAGGGAAACAATGAAGTCATGAATTCGCCCAGGTCAGAATATGGCCTTAATCTATAAAACGTCCAGGCATTTGGCCTGTCTACACAGGTCGAATCTAGAGCCAAGTGAGGTGGAATGAGAGACATCCTTACGCAAACAGGCATGCATGCATGCATTCATGCAGGGGTATCACTTCCTGAAATCGGCTGGGTCCTCATCCGAAGAGGTTGACCTCAATTGGCGCCAAAACCCGATTTCCTCCCGGACGTCGGCAACTTGAATTTGCGTCTTCGATGTCCAAAATAAAAAAAAACATCGATTCAACCTCATTTTAGTGCGGAGAAATGGATTCCCATTTTGAGCCACTCTGAGTTACCTTTCTAGTGAAAAGCCTAGAGCTGAATGTATTTCACGGAGAAATATTTTACCTTATCTTAGTAAAGGATCACCGATGACTATGGTTGCCGCTTACCACGCATTACAACCACCACAACCACGCGATTGCAACCAATACACTTGCCACTGTTGGGAAACACGCATTAACTTTTGTCTGGCCCACTCTGTACTTTTTAAAGCTGTCGCATATTGCAGTTGATTGTTTTTGTGATCCTAATCCAGGCGCTATCAGCTGAAAAAAACTTGTCAAACATTCGCTCATTGGCCAAATGTGGAGGCCGTAGCATGACAAAAACGTCAGATAACCGCAGGGTCCTAGTTGGCACAAAATTAACATGATACTTATAGTGATGTGTTTAAACACCTTCTACCTAGTATACTAATAGTCAAGATGACTGTCCTGCATTGATTTAGGCCCAAGTATTCCCTCTTTGTTCATATGCGTTGAGGGGGCTCAGGGAAGCATTGGGAGTAACGCCTCTGTGAGCATGTAAACGATATGAGGCCCTGAAAGCCGACCCAAAGCTCCTGTTATTGTATATGGACATGATGTATCCCTGGCCAGTTGGAAGCCCATCTGCTGCCCGGCCGCGAGGCGGAGGACGTCGGTCCATCTGGCAGTCACGTGTCCCTCGCGAGCTGGGAGTCCACCTGCTGCCCGGCCGCGAGGCAGAGGACGTCCGTCCATCTGGCAGTCACGTGTCTGTTACAAGGATCGGGTGTCAACAGACGCGGGGGGGGGGGGGGCTTCCGTGGTGGCTTGGCTTCGGCACATGCCGTCGGCACATGGAGCGCCCAGCGCCACCGGCCGCCGACACGCTGTCGCTTGAACAACAGGGGGGCGAATGACAGGTGTCCGACCGAACAGGCGCCACCTGTCCGAAACTGACTGCAATAATTAGCTGTAGCGAATTCCTTCGCTGAGCTACTGTGACCAGGGGTGTACTGAAACATGGCTACAAGAGACATAAGCCTTTGAGTCTGTATTTGCACGCGTTGCGCAGAATATCGCCTTTTGGCGACGCTCCATGTCAACTGGTGGCGAAATTCCGATTTCAATCCGATCCGAACCTTCTGAATACGTCTATGTTGCTACTTGCAATTATCACGGTCGCGTATGACTGATGGTGGAAAAGCTGTCATATTGCCACGGTTATTGCACACGCGAGGCACTTTGTACATTGCAGTGTGCGCACGTCCCAACAGTGGCCACAGTTGGTATGGTAGACTGTTCACGGTCGCCGTCATGGGATAGGCCTGGTGTTCAAAGTACGCACACACTGGGTGCACTTAAAACTGGCTCCTGCTGAAGACTGAGCACACTCGCCTCTGGCATCCCTGCGTCGCGCTGGTGCTCGCCACGCGCACAGACTGCGTACGCGTGCGTCAGGCTCCCTGGTCACGTGACCGGGAGACTCATCTCGGTGTGATTCTCGACACCCTCCGGCGTCTGCCCCGGTTCGAATAAACAGAGCGGCGCTGGTCACGGGATGTGCGGCGTCCGGCTGATTCAGCCCGTCACGGCGCGGCGGACGGAGCGGGCGGCAGTGCTCCGCCGGCGGCGCTCGGGAAAGGGGCCCCGCGGAGAGCCTGCTTACGAAGGTGAGTACGGCGTCAGTGCTGCGCCAGCGGCGCTCGGGAAAGGGACTCTGTCGATAACCTGCTTACGAAGGTGAGTTCGGCGCCAGTGCTGCGCCAGCGACGCTTGGGGGAGGAAGTCTGCGGACAGCCTGCCTGCCAGGGGAATTCGGCGCCAGTGCTCCGCCAGCGGCGCTCGGGAGAGGAAGTCTGCGGAGAGCCTGCTTACGAAGGTGAGTTCGGCGCCAGTGCTCCGCCAGCGGCGCTTGGGGGAGGGAAGTCTGCGGAGAGCCTGCTTACGAAGGTGAGTTCGGCGCCAGTGCTCCGCCAGCGGCGCTCGGGAGAGGAAGTCTGCGGAGAGCCTGCTTACGAAGGTGAGTTCGGCGCCAGTGCTCCGCCAGCGGCGCTCGGGAGAGGAAGTCTGCGGAGAGCCTGCTTACGAAGGTGAGTTCGGCGCCAGTGCTGCGCCAGCGGCGCTTGGGGGAGGAAGTCTGCGGACAGCCTGCCTGCGAGGGGGAGTTTGGCGCCAGTGCTCCACAAGCGGCACTCGGGAGAAGGACTCTGCGAATAGCCTGCTTGCGAGGTTGAATTCGGTGCCAGTGTACGTGACAGACGCCGCTACACTACCCACACTTCCGCGCGCGATGAGCTCTATAGTCAGGCATGGGTATAAGTCAAGCAGTCTGAGTCCAAGCTCGTATCTGAGCCCATTTGGAATTAAAATCCGAATCCCTTGTCCAGGCTTCTCAGATCACGACCCCCACGACCCCCTGAATACAGGTCCTTGAATAATGAGCCAAGTTCGAGCTCTTGAGGGCTGACATGGAGTCCGATCCTGTGTCCACGTTTGTGTTTCGAGTCTTGTGTCCGATAACATCACAGAGGGCGACGGAGCGGGACAAGATACATTTTGGTTATAAAATATTGTCTTGCAATCCAAACAAAGCAGATGCGAGGTGAATTTTTGCATCAGATTTCCGGGAGTAGATAGAGGCTGTGCGTGAAAAATGTCACCAGGGTTGACTTAGATGTAGTCTGACTTGACTTGAATTTAACGATGACATCCTCACAGCTTGTCTTGTGAGCTTGGGTTCACCGACAACCTTTATAAATCGGTAATCATGGGTACTGAAGCGGATACACCCTGTTCCAGACTGGGTCAGTTTAACGAAACCTAACTGGACTCAAGCGAGGCCGGTCTATGCAAACCTTAGTTCTCCCAGCCCAGCATGCCCTTCATGTGCCTAACGGCCGTTAACATCCTGTGTTTTGCGACTAAAATGCACCCCTCCAACCATTTTTTTAAACTCGTCATGTCTAGTCTGAGGCCCAGGTTTCTAGAATCTTTGCGCCCAAGTCACAGTCCTGACATTTTGAGTCCGGTTCTGATTCCTGGTGCTTTGAGTCGGAGTCCAGGATTAGGCCTCCCAAAGCTCGGCAAGACTCAGACCTATGCCCAAGAACACGAACGACACTGATCATTCTGCAGGGTTGACTTATAAAGCTCAATTATTTTTGTTATGTTATCAATCGGTGTCATCAGGAAATAAGTGTTCACAAGTGTAGCATTTTAGAAGCAGACAATTTTAAGCATTCTATCATAACATAGAAGTGTTTGTATTTTTTCACCATTAGCAACTCCATTAACTACTCGTAACCATTGCGAATCAATTTCTTGTTTTGTTTATATTCTTTCACATCGTTAGCTGGTTGCGCCTCTGTTGGCAGAGAGTGGCGCGCGTTGGCAACTTTGAGTTTCTCGTCCCGCTGTTAATCCTCTCCCCCGCGGCTGCACTGGGAAGACCAGCTGGACACCCACTTATAGATAATTGCGCACACTAAAAAGTCCGAAATGCTGAAATATTGCAACCTTTTGCACCTTGTCTTCAGCTGTGGCGAACTTGACTAGAACGTTGTCAATGAACCGTGATGTGGTGTTGACCTCCTGTTCTACAGCCCCGTTCGAGGGCAATTTTTTAAGATTTTTTTAAATTAATGACCTCTGAAAGCCAGCCTTTCCACACATTTACTTGAAGCTGGTTTTCGGAACAACGTAAATGTTGAAAATATCAACATTTGCGTGTTGTTTTTTTCCATAGATATTCCACGTTCGTTTGGCACAACTTACTTTACTTTAATTTGAATGTTCGTTAGTCGCATTCAGAGCTGTTCCTAGACGTCGAAATGCATTCTGTGACTGGGTGTTGGCCGACATAGTGATAAATGCGCACTCTCTGCCAGGGCGCGTTCGTCGCAGAGTGTGCGTTAGAGTCCTCCACGCTCTCTGCCGGGGCGCGCTCATCGCAGGGTGTGTATTAGCGAGCTTCACGCTCTCTGCCAGGGCGTGGTCGTCGTGGGGTGTGCGTTAGAGTCCTTCACGGGCAGGCTATCCTTTACCTCGTCCGCCCGCTACCCATGGGGCGTGCCCGTGTCCGCCTGTAACCCATTCCAAATTAGTTGCGCCCAGTTGTACCACGTTGCCTACCCGGTTGCATTTGTCTAGCACTGTAGTTCTAAATTGAAGGAAGGTTGCAGGAAAGTGTACACCCAAACTCTCTCATTTACATTGGTAATGGAAAAAGTTTGTTAATGGAACTATTAATGTTTCTGCCACATTAGAAAGCATTTCTTGAAGCATCTATCCGAAAATGCGCAAGCGTCTAAGCCTTACCTGCACTGCAACCCATGATTTTGCCAACTATGTACTCGACCCAACCCACTCCCCATACATATGGATACCCATAGGCTTATCCAACCCGCAAAGTCTTCCTGTTAACGTCCGACATGTTGCCTGCTGCCAAGCGCGCGTTGAGTGTGGGCCATCCCCGCCAGGGTGGGCAACGGCGGACCATCCTGGCGAGGCTGGCCCGCATGCCGGCCAGCCGCGGCTGGACCGGTGTCAGCTGTCCAGCTAACCTCTGACTCTGTGTGATGCCTGCGTCCAGCGATGCTGCTGTGGGTGTTGCTGTGCTGTGGGCTTGCCACGGCGGCTGGACGCCGGGTTCAGCAGGTAGACCGTCTGACCAATCAGCTCTCAAGCACGCTGGTGAGTCTGGCCAATCAGCCTAGTGGTTAGTCAGACCAATCATGGCCCAGTGCTGGGTATGTCGGGCCAACTATGCCCCCACCCCATCCCCACCCCACCCCAGTCGTAAGCCCATCACACAAGCCAGCTCTCTCAGCAAGAGGCGAGTGCGGCTAATGAGCTATTTAATGCAGGAGCCCGTCACATCAACCAGCCTTCCTCTACATTGTGCTGAGTTTGTAGGAAATATCCCTCCTCATGCATGTACTCTGTTCGAGCAATTACGGTGATTATGAGACTGATAATATTGTTGCTGTTGACGACAATAATAACAGCTATACTCGGTTGACGTTTTCCTCTCCGGAGGAGCACGACTGCGAGGACGGGACGTACCCAACGCCGGCGAAGCATGCCATACCCAACTACATCATCATAGACGTCGATCTCCTCTCAGGAGGAGCAGGACTGCGAAGACGGGACGTACCCACCACCGGCGAAGCATGCCGTGCCCAACTACATCATCAACCTGGACCTGCCGCCCGAAGTACCGCTACTGCAAACTTATGGAGGATATGGGACCGGCGGTATGTGGATGAGTACTATTTAGATGTTTGTGAAGAGTACGTAAGTTGTGGCTGGGGAACGGTAGTCCCTTCACCTAGCGCGATTGCCACGGTATGAGGAGCCAGCTTTTTATGGTTTATCTTAACCTGTATCCCAAGGGTTAAACCACCGGATCACTTTGAAAACAAAACATGATCTTACAGCACTCATTGCTCTTTTTGCTGAGCGGATTACTATCGTGTGTGAGGCTAGGTCCCATGACCGCCATCATCTTCGTCATTAGCCTCTGCCGTGGTCGTGTAAACATGCTGCATTCGTTCTCCAGTGGCGGTTAGTGCCAGCGTAGAACATGCACTCCGTGTGTACAAATCAATATGGAAAGGTCAGCCAGCAAATGGCTGGGAAAGGCAGACCTGGTACATGCCAGCGGTGTCGGAGCACTGTACGGCACGCGAATTACCCCATTAAAGCCCTGTTTACCAAGAAAGCTGCACGTGAAATGATCCTGTGAAATCTCATGGCTACTTGGGGCGGCGTGTTCAGGCCCAGGCGCACGCGACAGACTGTGGTCCGTGGTCCAGGCGGCCCCAGCGCGTAAGCCGACCTGGAGCGAGGGCGTCCGTACGGTGACCTTCCCGCTCCTGCGTGCGTAGGCCAGCAACCTGCTGGAGATCGTGCGGCGCGAGGCGGCCACACTGTTCGGCGACGGGCTGTTCCGCGCCGTGGAGCGCGCCTCCGAGCTGCTGGGCCGCCGCCTGCCCTACCCGTTCCACGACGAGATCCGCGGCATCGCCATGGCCGCCAGCATGTCCGAGGGTAGGTGGCCGGGGACCGAGGGAAGGTGGGTAGAGACCGGGGGTAGGTGGCCGGGGACCGAGGGTAGGTGGGTAGGGACCGAGGGTAGGTGGCCGGGGACCGAGGGTAGGTGGCCGGGGACCGAGGGTAGGTGGCCGGGGACCGAGGGTAGGTGGCCGGGGACCGAGGGTAGGTGGCCGGGGACCGAGGGTAGGTGGCCGGGGACCGAGGGACGGTGGTTAGAGACCGGGGGTAGGTGGCCGGTGGCCGAGGGTGGTGGGTAGGGACCGGGGTAGGTGGCCGGGGACCGAGGGACGTGGGTTAGAGACCGAGGGTAGGTGGCCGGGGACCGAGGACGGTGGTTAGAGACCGAGGGTAGGTGGCCGGGGACCGAGGGACGTGGGTAGGGACCGGGGATAGGTGGTCGGGACCGAGGGTAGGTGGCCGGGGACCGAGGGACGTGGTTAGAGACCGGGGTAGGTGGCCGGTGGCCGAGGGTGGGTAGGGACCGGGAGTAGGTGGCCGGGGACCGAGGGACAGTGGTTAGAGACCGAGGGTAGGTGGCCGGGGACCGAGGGACGGTGGTTAGAGACCGAGGGTAGGTGGCCGGGGACCGAGGGACGGTGGTTAGAGACCGAGGGTAGGTGGCCGGGGACCGAGGGACAGTGGGTAGGGACCGGGATAGGTGGCCGGGGACCGAGGGACAGTGGTTAGAGACCGAGGGTAGGTGGCCGGGGACCGAGGGACGGTAGTTAGAGACCGAGGGTAGGTGGCCGGGGACCGAGGGACAATGGTTAGAGACTGAGGGTAGGTGGCCGGGGACCGAGGGACGGTGGTTTAGAGACCGAGGGTAGGTGGCCGGGGACCGAAGGACAGTGGGTAGGGACCGGGGATAGGTGGCCGGGGACCGAGGGACAGTGGGTAGGGACCGGATAGGTGGTCGGTGGCCGAAGGTGGGTGGCTGGTGACCGAGGGTAGGTGGCGGGGACCGAGGGACAGTGGTTAGAGACCGAGGGTAGGTGGCCGGGGACCGAGGGACGGTGGTTAGAGACCGAGGGTAGGTGGCCGGGGACCGAGGGACGGTGGGTAGGGACCGGGGATAGGTGGTCGGGAACCGAGGGTAGGGGCCGGGGACCGAGGGACGGTGTTAGAGACCGAGGGTAGGTGGCCGGGGACCGAGGGACAAGTGGTTGAGACCGAGGGTAGGTGGCCGGGGACCGAGGGACGGTGGTTAGAGACCGAGGGTAGGTGGCCGGGGACCGAAGGACAGTGGGTAGGACGGGGATAGGTGGCCGGGGACCGAGGGACAGTGGGGTGGACCGGGGAGGTGGTGGTCGGTGGCCGAAGGTGGGTGGTGGTGACCGAGGGTAGGTGGCCGGGGACCGAGGGACGGTGGTTAGGACCGAGGGAGGGGCCGGGGACCGGGAGTAGGTGGCCGGGGACCGAGGGACAGTGGGTAGGGACCGGGGATAGGTGGTCGGTGGCCGAGGGTGGGTGGCTGGTGACCGAGGGTAGGTGGCCGGGGACCGAGGGACGGTGGTTAGGGACCGGGGATAGGTGGTCGGTGGCCGAGGGTGGGTGGCCGGGGACCAAGGGAAGGTGGTTAGGGACCGGGGCCGAGGATGGGTGGCCGGGAACCGAGGGTAGGTGGTTGGGGACCGAGGAAGGGTGGTCGGGAACCGAGGGTAGGTGGCCGGGGACCGAGGGAAGGTGGTTAGGGACCGGGAGTAGGTGGCCGGTGGCCGAGATTGGTTGGCTGGTGACCGAGAGTGGGTGGCTGGTGACAAAGGGTAGGTGTCCAGGGACCGGGGAGGCTGGTGCGAGTCACAGTGGGGCTACGGTATCCATCGCAGAATATGCTGCACTGTCACGAATCTGGGTAGCTGTTACAAGGTGCCAAGATCTGTGGTGCGCCGCTGTGGCACGGTGAAGGAATCTGTCATGCGACCCCGTGACCATGCTTGTGGTAAATCGCGTGAAGCCTCCCGAGAATCTGACTGGTCACGTGATCCCGTCGCTGGGCACCCGCAGCTCCCACCACCGGTTACGATGGTCACGGCATGGGTCTCACTTTCACGAGGCTTGGGTCACGTGTCTCCGGCACTGGTCCCACGCTCCCGGGACGGGCCCACGTTCCCGGCGCTGGTCCCAGGTTTCCGGGATAGGTCCCACGTCCCGAGATGGACCACACACTGTCGGCATTGAACGGTGCGTCGATGGCAAGCCTTCGGCGCCAACGCTGGTTCACAGCACAGCAGGTCCATCTAAACACCAGCTACCTCTTCTGGCCGTAGTTTACAGCGACCGTGAGTCGCACTGCACTGTTACATAACGTCCCGTGTGGCCACGCTGCAGTGCATGTCATGCAGGGAAGCCGAAGCAAACCCCGCGTTTGCAAACAAGTTGTGAGCGTAAAACATGCTCGTGGCTGCTCGTGAGGCACTGTACATGGCCTGCGCTTCCACCTCTCGCCATATTACTTATGCTATGCTACTCATTATATACGCGTAGCACGGGTATGTACTCATCTGTGTGCTCCTTGTCTCGGCGGGTTTGCATGTTTTCACCATTACAGGATAAACAGACAACCCGAGCAGATGCGGTCTAGTAAAGCCAGGAGCCCTGTGGCCGATGTCGAGGACCGTGAACGTATGAATCAATTCCGAGTTTTACTACGGATTTACAGCGCGGGCATCACTCAGGGTGGAAAGTATTTGCTTTCGCCGTTAACGCTGTGGGCTCCCTAAAAAATCTGCATGATTTCATACTCAGTTACCTACGCATCTCTACAGAGCACTTCGTCACGTTTAGAACCTACTTGAAGACGTACAAAAGTGCCAAATGACTGTCTTCAAACCAGACCACGCGGTCGCCACGCAGGCGGCCTCCTGATCCCACAGCCGGCCCGTGTGCGCGGCTGGCTGATCTGCGACTCAGCGGCATCTTCGGCAGGTGACGTCACACTGATGAACATCTTCTACGAGGTGTTCACTGTTTGCACTTCCATCGTGGCTGAGGGCACGGACGGCACGCTCTACCACGGCCGCAACCTGGACTTCGGCCTGTTCATGGGGTGAGCCGGCGCCCGGGCGGCGCATCCGTCTGGTACAGTGGGCGCCGCTCGCGCCCGCCAGGGTGTCCTGTGCAGCGGCAGTCATCAGTCACCGAACGCGACGGTGGCGTGGAATTAGTCTGCGGCGTGCATGTAACCTGGCCATTCTGGTGGGCCTCGGGATCGACGCAGCAAATTTACCACACCTCATTTGCATGAGGGAAGGCCCACAACACCGACAAACTATTTAAAACTGTGGGAAGAACGTAGTCCTTACCAATCAATAGACCACACTCTTAAGCAAAACCCGGGATGAATGAAGAACTAATAGCAATATTTGGGTCTTAGCACCACAGTACAGAACATCATCTACATGGCGTGTATTAGCTCAGCTGGAATCGGTCCGAGCATGAGGTGGAATTTGTCGATGCGGTTCTCGGCTGAGCATGTACATGGCCGCTAACCGCTGATACGGCAGCCAAACACGCTAACACCCATGCCAAGGCTGCTCAACTGACCGCTATGACGGGCACTATTTCAACAAAAAAGAAAGGGTGTTGAGTGATGTCCCTAGTCGGCTCAGTCAAAAACGTTCGATCTTCTTGTTTACAACCTGCGTTTCTGCGTTTGGCATCTGCTTCTGTGTTAATTACGCGAGAAGCAAAACATCTAGCTTTTTTATTTCAACTTATACTGGGCAGTAGGATAGAGCAAATGCGACGTTGTCATGGGCACACGATTAATACCATTCCCCTTTTCTGATGTAATCGAAGATCTCTGATCGTTTCTCGGCTCCTGGTGTGTGCACAAAAAAACCGCCACGAGTGATTCTTCCTCCTGTCATCGAGGCAGCATGCCATCGCCCCATGACAACGATGGAGAATAAAATTGTTTTCATATCGTTTTTTTCTCTCAAATAGAGTAGCCGGTCTTGCAAACAATAACCCAGACCTTCTTAGCCTAAACCGATTGCTACCAGGCCATCCGCTGGGAATGGCTCGCTGAGAATCGAGGGTTCCTCAGTCAGCATTCTGAATTGAGCGATTCAGTCTACCGGGCGTGACATGTTGGCGACAGGAAGCCGCACGATATGTGCCGTCCGCGGCGGCGGAAACGACGCGCTAGATAGGCCACGTCCGTCCCACTCGACGCCGGGCACGCGCCGGCTGTGGGACCGCGGCGGGAAAGACGCCGTCAGATAGCTCCGACGCGGCGCCGGACATTCGCCGGCTGTGAGGTCACAGTAGGAAAGACGCCGCCAGATAACGACAGTTCTAGTGCGCAGTTCCAGCTACCGCTTGCCAGGTGTAGAAGTGCAGTCGCCGAAATGTAGTCGAGTTCATACTTCCGCCTGATCTGTAAACCGCTTAACGGCTGTGTATTACACAGGTCAGTGGCACTATCTGGGCCGATCGATCTGAGGGGTTATTGGCAGTGTACATTTAGATGAAATAAGCGCAATACCCTCAGGTTCTCTCAATGAGTGGAACTTTATTGTTCAGTAGGAGGTTCTACACGTCTTATGTTTCGGAGTTTTACCACGGCTTTGACGGGCTTTGTACAGACAAAATTAGCTTAATTTTCTGATCGCCCATTTCGAATTGTCCAGGTCACTCATTGATTAGTTCGAATTTCCTCCTATCTCGGGCCTCACACCCAGGAAATAACGCATTTAGTGATTTTGTTATGTCCTCGCCTTTCGCGCGGCATCTGCATGGGACCACACGCGCCCGAGTAATTTTATTGAACAAATCCCGCGCAACCCTGGCTACCGTGTTCTTCGTTATGGTTCAAGCGCATTTGGACACGTAGACCCGTTCTTTAAGAACCGGTCCACGTATACATGCTGCACATTTGCACATCCGTGCAAACGCTGTCAGGCGTAGCAACTGTCATGCTCTAGATCGCGACAATTAAATTCATCATCGCACCCCATGGACCTTACAATCGTTGTAGCCCGCGGCTTGTCCACAGATCCTTGCCTCCGTTGTAGCCCGCGGCTTGTGCATGGATCCTTGCTTCCGTTGTAGCCCGCGGCTTGTCCACAGATCCTTGCTTCCGTTGTAGCTCGCGGCTTGTGCATAGATCCCGCCTCCGTTGTAGCCCGCGGCTTGTCCACAGATCCTTGCTTCCGTTGTAGCCCGCGGCTTGTCCACAGATCCTTGCTTCCGTTGTAGCCCGCGGCTTGTCCACAGATCTTTGCTTCCGTTGTAGCCCGCGGCTTGTGCATAGATCCCGCCTCCGTTGTAGCCCGCGGCTTGTGCACAGATCCCCGCCTCCGTTGTAGCCCGCGGCTTGTCCACAGATCCTTGCTTCCGTTGTAGCCCGCGGCTTGTCCACAGATCCTTGCTTCCTTAAGCCTCCGTTGTAGCCCGCGGCTTGTGCACTGATCCCCGCCTCCGTTGTAGCCCGCGGCTTGTGCACAGATCCCCGCCTCCGTTGTAGCCCGCGGCTTATGCACAGATCCCCGCCTCCGTTGTAGCCCGCGGCTTGTGCATAGATAACCGCCTCCGTTGTAGCCCGTGGCTTGTGCACAGATCCCCGCCTCCGTTGTAGCCCGCGGCTTGTGCACAGATCCCCGCCTCCGTTGTAGCCCGCGGCTTGTGCACAGATGCTCGCCTCCGCTGTAGCCCGCGGCTTGTGCACGGATCCCCACCTCCGTTGCACTTTAGGCCGCTGGCGTCCGTTTGTTAATTTTGAAAACGATTGTACGGACGCCATTTTGTTATGCCGTCGCTCCCAAAACCTTCAACAAGCGAGGAGCGCATACTCAATTTTTGGTTATGTTTTATCCATGGAGTTATACTATGGGGTGTTCCACTTTGGTATCGGGTTCTGAAACAGTCATCTTGGAGATCATCCGGTGCAGTTCACAGTCCTGCTCTTCTTAAGAACTAAACCCCTCTAGTGTTCGAGCTAATCGCCCATGAAGATGTACAGGCTATTCGTGCAGGCTACTCGAAGGCACCCAAGCATCATCATGTCAAAATAACGGCATTGAAATCCTGCCATTTTATTGGCCATGCGGTGATCAAGGTCAAAAACATACAATTGTCGCTTTCTTCATACCTGGCGTTCGTGAGTACAACTTCCAGATATAAGGGCCGTCAATGTGCTCTCAGCCAGTATCGTGCAGGGTACAATGACACAATCAAACAATAACGTATTGAGGAGTATATTTACTAAATGGATGAATGATGTTGGGTCGATCAGTTTTTCCACTTAAAAGTATACTTTAGCTATACGTGAGCTTATTTCATCATATCTGATGTTTGCTTCAATATTTTCCAATGTGAAACATCCCCTTTGAATAAGCAAATAACCATCACAAGTTGCAACCCTATTGTAACGCAAAAAGAGCGTAAGCATTCCCGCCATGCACAGTTGATCAACAACTAACAGATTGATGAATCTCTCAACAGATAATGAAAGCAAAGACAGTGCACGCGGCAAAACACGAGTTTCAATCCATCGAGGAAGCTATCAGCTCAGCATCATCCGTGGTCTCATGCCAGTACTTTCTAACGTCGCCTCCTCCTCTGTGTTATCGAGCGCTGTCGCTATTTTACCCCCGAATGTACCGGACAGGCACTGTCCTCCTCGCGACCCCCATATTGCTTGACGCCCGCCAGCAAATGTTCGCCTGCGTGTTACTGTGGGTGCTCCCAGAGGCATCAGCTCGAACCATGCATTCATGGGTCTCAGCTGGGTAGCCCAGTTGGGTCTCATGTGGGTTCCAGTTTGGCTCCATGTGGGCCCAGGTGGGCGGCCCATGTGGGACCCAGTTGGTTGCTCATGACATGCCTACATGGGACCGAAATTGGCCTTAACTCGGCAGCCCAGATGAGCCCCATGTGGATTCCAGTCTGGCCCCATATGGGCCCCAGGTGGGCTGCCCATATGGGACCCGGGTGGTTTCCCATGACATGCCCACATGGGACCCAAGCAGACAGCCCTGATGGACCCCATATGACTGCCCATATTGAACCCACATGGGTCCCAGCTGGACATGGCGACTGGCAACAGAAGGGCCTGGCCAGTTACGAACTCCAGGACCAAACATGGGATCTTCAGGGCCCCTGAATCTAATTCCTTTTGGTGGTTATTCATGTCGTTCCACCCGTGACCGAAGGCTTTAGTCCCGATATCTGGTCGGTTTACTATACCAGATTTGAACCGGCACCAATGGTGATGACTCAGCCTTCTGGCGATAAACTGGCGGATTGGCCTGTTACTTCAGTTAGTGACCAGGGTGTGTATTTTAACGATGAAATTGGCCATTCTGGTTGTCCAGTTAATTTCGCTCCATTGCGAGCGTCCCATTCGTGGCGAGTGCTCGAGCCCGTCTGTCTCAAATGGCACGACGCTTTAAAACGTTGCGTAGCAAACTGATTACGTTTGTCGCAAGATGCCATGGCCACCCACAATTTTCACTAGTAATATGCTTTGTTGTTTGGTATTTTACACTGCTAAGTATGCGAAGTAAATGTTGGCTGAACAATCTGTGAAGAGTATTGATCTGAGGGGCGTTCAAAAAACACTGTGTCACTACTGATCTGTGACGTCAGCACCGATAAAGGATAGTTTGACGTACATTTCTATTACCTGCTAAACATCATTCTGATTTAAGGTATTATGTTTGGCAGCATCTTATTGCTTAACTTGCTGATGCAGCAAAACGCCAACGTTTCAACATGTGTTCTACATATGTTCACGCTGCATAAGTTCACGAGTACCGACCAATACTAAGCCTTGAGTTTCGTCTAGCTGGTATAGCCAGTTGTAATGCGGTCTGGTCTGTTGAAATTTGTTTGCAGTTTCGCAATATTGCCCCAATTGGTTTGCAAAAGTGTTAATTTTTCTCACCCATCATATCCGGTAAATCAGAAGCTTTTTCATCTCTGTTGCGCCACATCAGGCTCTTGTCTGCCTTCGTGCGTGTTCAGATTCCATTCTAGAAGGCAACGAATCATCTTTGGTGCACTTGGCTGTTTTTAAATTATTGCCGTCAAAACAGATCTGTGGCCTAGACACATTTTGTTCGAATGAAAGAATGGTAGCTGCTAAGTCTGGCTGAGTTTGTCACACGCCTTGTTTCGTTCTCCGCAGAGCGATGCCGTGAGCTGAGCGTCCGTGTGTTGACCTGCCCCTCTCCCGTTTGTGCGCAGCTGGGACCGCACCAATCACACCTGGGTGGTGGCCGAGGCCCTGCGGCCGATGACCGTGACGCTCGAGTACACCAGGAACAACCGCACCCTCTTCCGCACGGCCGGCTTCGCAGGCATGGTGGGCGTGCTCACTGGAGTACGACCGGTACGTGCGCGCTAGAGGTGTTAACTTAAGTGCGGTGGTGCTCCCACAATGGCGGTATTGACTGGGCTACGCCAACACGCCCGTTAAAGTGGTATAAACTGGAACACGATTGGCACATCTGTACCACGGGACCGGGGTGCGGCCGGCACGTCTGTGACGGGGTGTTGGCTGCGGTGCGGCCGGTACGTCCGTGACTGGGTTGTTGGCTGGGGTGCAGCCGGCACGTCTGTGTTGGCCGGGGTGCGGCAGGCACGTCTGTGACGGGGTGTTGGCCGGGGTGCGGCAGGCACGTCTGTGACGGGGTGTTGGCCGGGGTGCGGCCGACACGTCTGTGACGGGGTGTTGGCCGGGGTGTGGCTGGCGCGTCTGTGACTGGGTGTCGATTGGGGTGCGGCCGGCACGTCTGTGACTGGGGTGTTGACCAAATGTGTTTAGCACGTCCGTGTCAGGGGTACTTAATTGATGTTTTGTACTTTTATGTTGTTCATATACGTCGCTACTGCTCCCTTCCCGGCAGCTCAGTGGGTTTGGGTGGCCGCCTTTGAAATTGCCCGCCAATGAAGGGGTGGGTTTGAGTCGCTTCAGGCGCGTGCCATTTATCCCTGGCTGGACTGGTCTGTGACCGGTGACAGCGGCCGCACGTGCAGCTGAGGTCAGAGGGGACTACGGACCGCACCGAGCGATGCGGCACGTCAGTTTTCGCCGCAATGACGTGCTGTAGACCTAGAATTTCACGGTCGGATAGTGGGGCCTGAGCTCACGGAATATGCACTGCTTAGCGTGGGTGCTGATCCCAGAAATTCTTGTAACAAAAATTGTCGGGATGAATCTCTGAACAAAAAAGAAAGCAAAAACAACGACAACGACAACACACGATTCTGAAAGATTGCCAACTAGGTACAGTATTCCGTTTCAATTAAGTCGGATTGGTAGAAGAGTCATGGCATGCAGGAGCGGTAACCCCACTTTAATAGCAGTCCATCAGCATCGCCAACACAATCCCCACGTCAGTCACCCACCTGAAAACACGTCGAAGCTCAGGGTCTCCGAAGGTTCCAGTGAGAAAGGGGAAAGACGGGTGCAGGATGCTCGCAGGCTGACGCTGTGGCGAAAACAGACAGGGACCCCGGGGCCGTGGCCTTCCCTCCCTAGGGCCCCAAGGTGCCCATAGGCTCCGAAGAGACCCATAGCGGGCCGAACGGGCGCAGTTTTTAAGCACAAAATGCGTAAAAATGGGCGTCTTTGGGTCCTCGGGCGTCGAAGAACAAGCGGTAGTAGAGGGCCCAAGAGGAGACAAAAATAATTATTCGCTGATTGAGAGGGTCGGTACTGGGGAAATTTTAAGGCTCGTTATGTTGTCCAGAGGCCCTGAGCTGTTGCGTGATGCACTATATTATCACTTTTGGGTTCAGTTCAACCTCTTGAGAGCCTACCATGCTGCCCTCAATTTTTTGCATGTGCTCGGAGTATCCTACGTTGTTGCCGGGCCCCACGTTGTTGTCAGTATCTGCTGGTATGCCGAAGCACTCTGGACAATGAGGTGCTCTCCACAGATTCTTCCCATTCGCACGAAAGGCTCTATATGTCTATATACTATAGCACGGGGACCCCATATGCTAACCTGGCGGGGTACTCTCCGTTGCTTAAGGCCCTTCACATTCGTCTTGCGTTCTTTCCACCTGCTCGGAGGACCTTGCGCTGTTGCTGGGGCCCCATATAAGTTAACGCACCGAGGCACTTGATGCTCAGGAATCCTCTACATTGATCTGGGGCTCTTTCCTTTTCATCTCATTTGCGAAGGGCGTGTCACTCTTGTCTGGGTCCGTTATTTTTACCTGCCCGGGTGCTCTTGATCAGATCAGGCTCAAGGCACACACAAGACACAAGGCACCTTTTCGATCACGACACTCTTTGCCCGGAGAGCTCTGCGCCCTGGCCGTGGCCCTCTGTGTTAACCTGTAGGGGCACCCCCAGTCGTTCAGGGGCCCACCACATTGGCCTTGGCGCCCTTCTCGCTTGCTGTGAAGACCTTACACTGATGACGGGAGCTACTTTGTTGGCCTGTCGCGGCAATCTCGATCGTTCAGGTACCGTATCTGTTTGTGTTGGGTTTTCCATTTCATCGGGGTGGTATGGTGCCGATGTGGCCCGAATGTTAATCAGCCGGGGCACTCGATCGCTCCAGGGCCCTCCACCTTGCTCGAAGGCTCTTCCCATGAAGTCAGACGGGCCACACTCTGTTCCCGAAACCCCCACATGTGCTCTCGAGTGCCAGGGGGTTTCGCCTGCTCTTGTGTACCGGCCTGTTAAATTACTTAATGTGCACATACACGCGTTAATCATACCGTGTGTCATACACATGCACATCATATACATGTACACAAGTTAGGGATCTACACGATAACGGTCTCCCTTGATGCCCCAGCCTTCGAGCAGCGGTCGGATATGCGGCGATGAATTTTGACGCGCAATTGCCGAACATCATCTTTCGCTCTGCCGAAAGCTGCAGTTCCGTTGGCTATTAAACAATTGTGACACTTCTTTTACTTGTGTATCATGTCCTTAATGCATTTTGAATGGTAGGATATTATATTCTCCTCAGCTACAGTCAAAGCAAAAACCCTAAGTTAGTCGCCAGTCATCAGCTAATCACATTGACCAGGCGGGTCGTTGTCGGAAGCCGGCTAGCCGTAGATAACCCGGAAATCAAATGCCGTGCTTTATTTTGGTGGTATTTAACAGCTGACGAAGTCCATTTTGTCGCATCTTCTACGACCTACTTAGCCTCAAAATGACAGGCTCCACCAAGATTCGGAGAAAATGCACGCGCCCCATGCATGGTCATACGTGCCACGTCTAGTTTCTTATGGTTGTGCACGGGAAGATGGGCGCTCATGGAACAGCTAACATACGTAATGCATAATGAGCGTGCGTAATATCTAGATTTGATTACCGGATGCGAGAATCTCTTCTTTTTGGAGGGGTCCACAATGTTGCGTGACCCCCCCCCCCCCCTCTTTGACGGAACCCTAGGCCCGCCACTGGGCTGATGACAAAGGGCAGAAACAAATTAAGTCGTGAAACCTGATTTAATTAAAGCAATGCAATGTGCCAGAACGCGATGGAAAGTGTTATCCGAAAATTTCTGACAATGTTCAAGTGTCAGCTGTAGCTAGTAAGGCGCAGGCGAACCGTTATGCCTTTTCCGATTATTTGTCGTGGAGATCGGACATCAGGGCAGCCCCAGTGCTGTGGATAAAAGGCCTAACAAACATGCATATGTGAAGCTCAAAATGATGCAAGTCACGCGAATCCGCTCAACGTTTCTTAATAACCCCATCTTGCTTCAAACCAATGGGAGAGTTCCGGAAGATCGGGAACATCATGTCGCATTTAGTGGAATTTGATTTGAGTAGACGAGTGCTGGACTAGTAGACCAGCTGGTCTATGTCGGCTTAAAGAATGCAATGTCTTTGCAGGGACTCGGAGTGCGCAGTTTTACATGCTCGGCTTATCATGTTCCGCGCGCTTGTCGTACATTTGGGACGGAATCCCAGCGGTAAAGCGAAATACGAGCACTACGTCTGTGGCGGGGGTATTAAATGGGGTACGGCGGGCTTCGTGGCGGTATGTAACGGAACGTGACCGTGTATCTTGTCACTGGGGTGAGGCCGGCACGCTCGTAATGGGAGCGTTGCCTGCAGTAAGGTTGACGCGCCTGTAATGAGGGCGTTGACTGCAGTGAGGCCGGCACGCCTGTAATGGAAGTGTTGACTGCAGTGAGGCCGGTACGCTCGTAGTGAGAGTGTTGCCTGCAGTGAGGTTGACATACCTGTAGTGATAGCTTTGACTGCAGTGAGGCCGGCGCGCCTGTAATGAGAGTGTGCTGCAGTGAGGTTGACATACCTGTAATGATCTTGACTGCAGTGACCGGCGCCTGTAATGAGAGTTGACTGCAGTGAGGCAAGCGCGCCTGTAATGAAGTGTTGACTGCAGTGAGGCCGCCTGTAATGAAGTTTGACTGCAGTGACACGGTGCGCCTGTAGTGAGAGTGTTGGCTGCAGTGAGACAAGCGCGCATGTAATGAGAGTGTTGACTGCAGTGAGGCAAGCGCGCCTGTAATGCGAGTGTTGACTGCAGTTAGACCGGCGCGCCTGTAATGAGAGTATTGACTGCAGTTAGACCGGCGCGCCTGTAATGAGAGTGTTGACTGCAGTGAAGCCAGTACGCCTGATATCGGGACACTGCCTGGAATGACGCCCGTACGTCTGTAATTTGGGTTTATGACTGAAGTGCGTCCAGTACGTCTGTAACGGGCGACGTTCAGCAGAGCCTGGAGTGGGCAGATGTCACTGGGTGTTGTCTCCTCGTCTGCGAGGAACGGGGCTACGGCTAGGTTTATCGGAATATGACAGTGTCATTGTTCGGGGTCGACAGAAAGCTTATCACTATTGGCAGGACCTGTTCTATTTAAAGGAACTCGCTGTTAGATGTGGCATCAAGCAGACGAGTGGATGACGTGATCTCGGAATGACGTGGCATTTGGTACCGCCCCTGTGAGCGGAGCGGTGACGCGTGGGTCTGGCACGCGATCGATCAGAGGTGCCGGTGGGACCTCGCCGAGTCATTGAGAGCTCGGAGTTCTCACCATTCGTGTTGCAGGGCCTCTTCTCGCTGACCACTGGCGAGAGGTTCCCATCTAACAGCTCTGTTGTCTCACCATGCGTGTTGCAGAGCCTCTTCTCGCTGACCACTGGCGAGAGGTTCCCAGCTAACAGCTCTGTTGTCTCACCATGCGTGTTGCAGGGCCTCTTCTCGCTGACCATTGACGAGAGGTTCCCAGCCAACAGCTCTGTTGTCTCACCATGCGTGTTGCAGGGCCTTTTCTCGCTGACCATTAACGAGAGGTTCCCAGCTAACAGCTCTGTTATCTCACCATCGTGTTGCAGGGCCTCTTCTCGCTGACCATTGACGAGAGGTTCACACTGAAGCCGGGGCTTTGGTACATGCTGCAGTGGGCGTTTGGAGCCAAAGTCCAGTGGAACACCGTCATCACAAGACAGGTGAGCAGGCTCACAGCAGCTGTCTTCGTGCTGGCTTTTTCAGACAAGGAACTAATTTCGGCCAAATTGTGAAATGCGTGGACAGTAGGATAAACCCTATAGTAGGATCCATGCCCATGGAATGTTGCCAGGTCTATTAAAATGGCCCGATACATCACCCGAGAAGCTGTTTTCACTTCTCAACGAGTGCGGTACTCAGTGAATTGGTCCCGGGAACCAAATTTGTAAACGCGAAATGACAGAGAGGCACATGATGACGACATGAAAACGCCCCCGTTGCAAAATTCAACCGAAATTGTAATATACCTGACGATGAAACGCTTGGTGTGTTTCGTTTTGGTCGGTCCTAAGTTTCTTGCATTTCAGCTTTGGTACCAAATTAAGACTGCCTTATAAAAGCAGCATTAAAAAGGGCATATGTGAAGAACTTAGGTTGCCGCCACAAGATTCTGTCGCCGCGGGTGTGGTTTTCCGTCCAGGACAGATGCAGGCTTTGCGCGCTGTGTTCTCGGTGATGAGCACTGGTGCACGCGTTGCAGTTCATGCCAGGCGTGATCTCTGACTGGTGAATGGCATGGTCGTGATCTGTGCTCATTTCGGCGAGATGCTGTCCGTAAGATGCCGCCCAAAAAATCGATTGGTGGCGGATATTTTAAGGCTTTCTACAGGTATGAACGTGACCTGACCCGCTATGGCTTCTGACCTCCACTGATAGACACCCCACGGAGAGCCTGGCTAGATAGTGTTCAGCTCGTTGTATGGTGCAGCGTGCTTGACATTCGGCCTTCATAACTGTTGAACTGCGATGCAGGTGTGCGTGTGCTCGTTCTGGTAAGTTAGTCATCAGTTCATCAGCAATTCAGTAGTGAAGTTAGTGTGGCAAACGCGACTGTCCAGCAAATCACTTCCCCACTCACTTCTACTTTGTTTCCCCAGGTCCTGGAGAACGGCACCGATTATGGTTCTGTGGAAAAGCAGCTGGCCAAGACGGCGCTGATCGCTCCGGTCTACTTCATCCTGGCCGGCAACAAGTCCGGGGAGGTGGGCCTGATGAAGTGCGGGCGTGTTGGGCCGGGCCGTGCGGCCCCTTGCGGGTGTGTGGGACCGGGCCGCCCGCCTCCCCGCGGACGAGTGGGGCCGGGCCGTGCGGCCCCCTGCGGGTGTGTGGGACCGGGCCGCCCGCCTCCCCGCGGACGAGTGGGGCCGGGCCGCGCGGCTCCTGCCGGGCACCTCAAGCGCGGAACCGCCAGCTCCTTGCCGGTCCAACGACGGGATCCTCCGTGAGGTCGCGGGCTCCTCCAACACGGGATCACAGACTCCTTGTTCACGGGGCCGCACACTGTTCGGACGAACACAGGCTTCCCAGCAAACACCATACGCTACAGGCCGCACGCTCCCCAGTGGTCATGACATGCCACAGGTTCCCCAGTGGTTATCGTGCACCACAGTCTCCCCGACACAGGAACATGGTGAAGGGGATAATAATTCTACATTTGGTACGGCTTTGGCTCGAATCCCTGGAATTTGCACGCATGCGCCAGAGCTGGTAGACGGTGTCATACCAGGAAGCTGTATTCTCTGTTGAGAGGCAGACATCTTGAACATTGTTGCCAACAACGCAAGTTTTCTGCTTTGGGTATTCCATTTCGTTGATGATACACTGTGCAACGTCCAGCAGGCCGCGTGTTTTCGCACTGGAAACATTTGCGTTTACACGAACATGGATTTATTCATGGGATCACGGTCGTGTTGGCCCAAACCAGTAATGTTGCGTCGCGTTATTTAATGTATGACAGGTATCGCGCTTGTGTCGTTGGGGCTTTACGACGCACTCAGCTGCGGAGGCTTTATGGTGTCGTCTGCCTCTCACCCCGGTTAGAAGGGCGGTCACCGCGGGGAATCGAACCCGGTACCTCTGGTTTCCCAGACGCGCAGTGGCCAATGCAGACGCGTTAACCACTACACCATCGGCAACACAGGTATCGCGTTATGTCTGTGTCTGTGCGTGTGCGTGTGTGTGTGTGTTGTGCGTGTGCGTGTGCGTGTGGTGTGTGTGTGTGTGTGTGTGTGTGTGTGTGTGTGTGTGTGTGTGTGTGTGTGTGTGTGTGTGTGTGTGTGTGTGTGTGTGTGTGTGTGGTGTGTGTGTGTGTGTCGTGGTCGCCGGCACTGATGGCAGCTCGGCTATCCAAGACCGAACTCCCCAAAACACCAAACGCCTTTCAGGCCTGCGTCATCACCAGGGACCAATACAAGGCGGACATATGGCCCCTGGGCATCGCTTCACTCACCCAGAAGTCTCGGTGGTAAGTTTGTTCTTTCTTGAATCTGGCTCGACGGAAGGTAAGTCCGTCGCTTGTACTTACTCCACTCATCGAATACCCGTACTCGAGTCGCCAGGTGCATTGCCATATAGCACTGTCCAATCGACCATTTAGAAGGCATGTTGTATCAGAACAATCTCAAGATGAGGGAAAATTCTAAAATAAAGCAAAATGCAGGCAAACTAAACGCACTTTCAAACTATTGTAAATGCGACAAAATCTGGGACGGGCGCAAACGACCCCGGCAGTCGACGCGCCCGAAAACTCCAATCATTCATCAATCTCTGTCGAAAGAGCGACGGTGACATTTGAAGCAATAGGGATCTCGATGATGATCAGACCATCAGACCAGACCAGACCATCAGATCAGATCAGATAGGGATTAGACCATCTCGTCCGCGTCAGGTCCATGAGATCACGGTCATTGGGAGCCAGTCGTCGATACATGTTCTCGCATTAGCGCGGACGCAAGGGATGATTTGGCCGGGAGCGTATCCGTGACAATATGAGGGAGAAGCATGTGCGCGGGCTCGTGAAGCATGCAGAGTACAGCGTCCGATGCAGCTCCGCTGTGGTGACCAGGTGTGACGTCCGGCACGGAGCCAGCCGTCGGCCCCCAGCTCCTGGTGACGCGGTACCGGCGCCGCGCCCTCAGGTACCTGCTGCAGACCAACTACGACCACTGGAAGCGGCCGCCGTTCTTCGACAACCGGCGTGGGCCGGGCGTGCGCTGCATGGACCGGCTCGGCCAGGCTGCGCTCAGCCCGGCCCGGCTGTACGATGTGCTCCACTCGAAGCCAGTCAGAAATCGGGTGCGTTTCGCCAGTGCATGGCGACGGAGGATCGGAGGGGCGAGGCGTCAGGGCGCATTGAACGAAGCGTCTCTCGGCTCCATGCCATGATTGTGTTCTGTGGCTGTTTTGTGGGCGCGGTCAGAGCAGCACGCTGGCCAGGTGAGCCCGGCGCCGCCGCGGTGACGCGTGCTGAGGTGGAACGCGCCCTGTTGCAGCTGACGGTGTACACGGCTCTGCTGGAGCCCGCCCGCGGACATCTGGAGGCCTGGCTCCAGTACTGCTCCGACCCGGACTGCGCCATCTGGTGAGGCATCGGCGGCCGGGCCGGCGAGTCTCGGCTCACCTGCCCCGGGCGGGGCAGACGTCCTCCTCCCGGGCGCTGGAGCACAGCGGCACGCCAGGCCGGCGTGGCTCGGCTCGCCTGCCCCGGGCAGGGCAGACGTCCGCCCCCTTCCGGCCGCTGGAGCACGGCGGCACGCCAGGCCGGCGTGGCTCGGCTCGCCTGCCCCGGGCAGGGCAGACGCCCCTGCCCCCTCCCGGGCGCTGGAGCACGGCGGCCCGCTCCCGTAAAGCCGACTGCGCGATCGAGTCGGCGCGCTGACCTCCTGGTCCGATTGATTCCCATTTGAAGTCAGGATACTGGCGGAGCGTACGCGTTTTCTGTGCACCCTTTGTGAATACAAACTATCTATCGTACACGAACGTGTACACCAGCGTCCATCGGCCAGCAACGGCGCAAGCTCACGCGGTTTTTGTCGTGTTGAGCCCAGTACCATAGCCAAATGACATTACATTTATATACGTGACTCCGAGACATGGCTTGAAGCTACCACTCCGCACCCTCATATTCGTACTGTCACTGGATTTTGGACAATGAACGCGAGTCATTTCTGGACCGGACAGCAGTAGCTGCCAGACAACGCCTCTTGCACCGGGCGCGCTGTTGAATAGCCGCCCTCACCCGGGCCGTCCCTGCTGCCACCGGCCAGTAGACACAGCATGCCACCCGCATGACTCGCAATTCATACCGCCAAGTGGACCAAAAATAGCCATGTATTGCGCTGATTCCATAAAGCTTCACAGGTTCAGATCTGACGTTGGTGAGACTTACCACCTCGACAGGCACAGAAGGCAGCACAGCTTCATAACCAACAGCCAAAGGTATCGCTGAAGTGGACAAAATCGAAAACCAGAAAATACCAGCAAGGCATGTAGGTTATAAGTTGTACCTGCTTAAGCGCATTGATTCATCACCTTTTTCCTGATGCAACTTCAGTTAAGCAGATCTTCGTACACAGACATCTGGGACATCCTGCTTGCCTCCCTGTCCGGAATAAAGCGATATATGCCCTGTCAATCTGTCTAAAAAATGTCTTCGACAACATCACCCGACCTATTAATGTGGATCTAGTTCAGCTGTTAAGTGTACTAGAGTCTCGGAAGTCATTGCTCCTGCTTGGAAGTAATCGACGAACCCGCATTGTAATCACACTTCACCGAAACGGCTTCCGCCCAATAATGTATACACAGCGCAAATGACTGTCTCGCCCCGTTTCTCATACCACGTATCTAACGCTAAGCGAACCTGCTTGCTCACAAGCCGTCACTGAAAGTGTCATCTGGCAGCGGCGGTGCCGGTCTGCTGCGAGTGCTCAGCGCGGTCAGTGCGGGCCACATCGAGCAAACGCCACCGGAGCCAGCACACGCAGCCGCCGCTGGGCCGGCGACTCAACACAAGGGCAGCGGCGAAGGCTCAGCCAGCATCGGTCACTCGCACGGCAATAACAGCGACGCGCCCTCGCAGCGCAGCGGTGGCGCCATCTGGTGCGACTTCGAGCGTCGGCGCGCGTCCGGACCGCAGCCGGCTGCCCGCCACGGCAGCCGAGGGCCGGAATTTGAGGCGAGACACACGGCGCCGCACAAGAGCAGTGCCTTTGGCCAGAGCATTGAGACGCGACGACGGCCGGGCTGCCGCAGTGCCGGAAGCGCGGACGGCAGCAAGGCGTCAAAGCAGCCGGCTAGCTAGTCGCAGCGGAAGCCGTGCCGGAGCGGATCCCGCGCCGGAGTGGGCGGCCGCCACTAGAGAGCGCGATGTTTGCGCTTGATGCGGGCGTACGGCCCGATCTCCGGGTCGGTGATGAAGTCGTAGAGCACGCGAGTCCACGAATCGTGCTGCGGCAGGTCGTCGTAGAACTCGGGCGCCATCTTTCGCACCTGGTGGCAGAGGCGCACAGGTGGTAGCGGGCGCGCCAGTCGCTCGAGCAGCCCAGATCAGACGGGCACACGAACTGGACCGCGCACAGTGACGGTCATGCGGCGGCGCGGCCCCACGGATATCGACTGCCCAGTCCCGACACGAACCAGTCCACGCACCCCGGCGTCGGCTCCCCGACACTGCGCTGTCCTCTCGCCTGAGGTGGGCGACTGCACGACCCGGGACAGTCAGTTCACCTGACGCGGGCGACTGTTTGTGGCAGCCGCCTCACGTAACGCAGTCGGCTGTTAGCGGTAGCCGCCTTACTTGACGCAGTCGGCTGTTAGAGGTAGCCGCCTTACCTGACGCGGTCGAGTGTTAGCGGTAGCCGCCTCACCTGAGGCAGTCGGCTGTCCGTGGCAGCCGCCTTACCTGAGGCGGTCGGCTGTCCGTGGCAGCCGCCTCACCTGAGGCAGTCGGCTGTCCGTGGAAGCCGCCTCACCTGGGGCAGTCGGCTGTCCGTGGCAGCCACCTCACCTGAAGCAGTCGGCTGTCCGTGGCAGCCGCCTCACCTGAGGCAGTCGGCTGTCCGTGGCAGCCGCCTCACCTGAGGCAGTCGGCTGTCCGTGGCAGCCGCCTCACCTGAGGCGGTCGGCTGTCCGTGGCAGCCGCCTCACCTGAGGCAGGCGACTCCCCGGCACGGCCGGGAAGTCATGGTGCTCGTTATGGAAGCCCACGTTGAATGTGATGGCGTTGAGGGGACCATAGTAGGAGTAGGTCTCGTAGCCCTTGCGGAACATGTAGTGCTCCGAGATGAAGTGGCCGGCCACCGGGTGCAGGCCCATCGCCATCAGGGAGCCGCCCAGCATGTAGAAGAGCGCCTTGGCACCTGTCGCAAGCGATGGTCACCAGTGACGTCCCGCACGCCGAGCCCGCTGGAGGCGTGCCATCACGTGCTAAACCAGCCAATAGTGCTGTCAGGACCTGGCACCAGATCACCTGTGACGGTGTGCTTGAATAAGCGGGTAATGGAGGACTAGGTTGTCAAAATCCACTGTCCTGTTGTCGCTGAAATAACATTCAAAAACGCTTGCCTGATATGGCACCGACAGACGCAAGAGCCTTCGCCCCACGGCTCCGTCTCCGTCCACCGACAGATACCCCGGCCGGCTCCTCCCCTCTGGCTCGAGTGTCACGGGGTCCGCCGACAGACCTCCCGCCCGACCCCTCCGCTCTGGCTCGAGCGGTGCGGGTCCACCGACAGACCCCCCCCCCGCCCGGCTCCTCCGCTTCGGCTCGAGCGGCGCGGGGTACACCGACAGGCCCCCGGCCGGCTCCTCCCCTCTGGCTCGAGTGTCACGGGGTCCGCCGACAGACCCCCGCCCGACCCCTCCGCTCTGGCTCGAGCGGTGCGGGGTCCACCGACAGACCCCCCCCCCCGCCCGGCTCCTCCGCTTCGGCTCGAGCGGCGCGGGGTACACGCCGACAGACCCCCGTCCGGCTCTCCGCTCTGGTCTCGAGGTCGGGCGCCACAAACCCCCGTCCGGCCCCTCCGCTCTGGCTCGAGCGGCGCGAGGTCCACCGACAGACCCCCGTCCGGCTCCTCCGTTCTAGCTCGAGCGGCGCGGGGTCCACCTACAGGCCCCCGCCCTGCTCCTCCGCACTCACCCAGCCAGTAGCCGACGGCCACGTTGAAGCCGATCTGGATGGCCGAGTTGGCCAGCTCTAGTCGCGTCGGAGGCTTCGGGTACGTTATGACGGGCCGCAGAGCGTAGAAAAGCGGCTGCAGAAGCACCCAGACGAACTTGCCGAAGGTGGTGCAGAAGAGCCGCGCCTCCAGCGCCGTCGGCAGGTCCGTGTCCAGCTTCTCGTCGCCCTGGTACTGAAGCGGAGCGGAGCGGATCTCAGAGCGAGGCCCGGGCCCGGAGCCGCTCGAGACCTACTTCGCTAAACAGGCAACTGTGAGCCGTATACGACACTACGCAAAAGTTAAAATATTGTCACCTGCATTTACAGCATCCTCCACAATGCCGTATTGTGTCCGATAACTAGTCGGCGCTTTGACTCGCTGCGCTGCCGAGTGGCCTCCGCACACGACACGGCGGCCTCATCCGACACGGGATCTACATATGACGTGGAGGTAGGAACTGACAGCCTCCGGAAGGGGGAAGGGGAGCGGGAGGCACTGTTGCTGTCGCCGGCAGCAGATGCCACCATCAGACGAACCTTCCCCGGTGACACCGCATGGGTGCCAGAGGCCAACTCACACAGCGAATGCCCGGTGCTACAAGGGAAGCGATGCCGCCGCGCCTATCCCGTGCTATGTGAGAGGACAATCACACAACGTCCTGAACGAACGAGAAAACTTACGAAACGTAACACCCAACACAGTTCTAGAATGTCATCCTTTTATTAAGCCAGAATGAACAAACCTTCCGCCTCGAGCAATATGGAAGTGGTGAGCTTTTTGCTTACAATCCGCAGACGAAAAAGTTACAGCCCGTAGACGGCTGATGCCGAGCGCTTCCTGTTCATTTGGCCTGTTGGAAACCTCATCAAATATTTGCTCTCATTACATAACTGACTTCAACGGCAACGCCATGGGTAGTGCCAACATTACATCCAGAGTTGGAGGGAGAATACCGAGTTTCGCCAGAGTGAGCGGACGCTCCGTCCGTCCCTACTCCGTCCCGCGTGCTCCCGGCACCCAGCCGACAGACGTCACTAGCTCAGGTCATCCGACAGCACCTACCCGATGGTGTTCCAGGTGGTAGGCCTTAAAGGCCACGGAGAACGGGATACCGATGGGCAGGTTGGCGAAGATGCCCAGCAGCCGGTTGGCCAGTGGCCGGCTGTGGCCGAAGGCCAGGTTGTGCGCCAGCTCGTGGATGGCTGCCGGCGAGCGAACACGGCCCACGTCACGCGCCGGGCTCAGGCTGACGTCACGCGCCGGGCTCAGGCTCACGTCACGCGCCGGGCTCAGGCCGGCGTCACGCGCCGGCCTCAGGCCCACGTCCGTGGCCGGGAGGGAAAAGGGGTCGCGCGGGGCGCCAGGCAGCATCATGTGACAGACAGCGCGCCTCTGCTCGTAAAGCGGCGCTTCGTATTAGTCCACGCGCTCGTGAAGGACGCTTCGTAACCACACAAAGCGGCGCAAATCAGAAATAAGGGTCGCCGCTTTAAATGTCACAAAAACGCGTCGTTTAGAACCGGAGCTTGCCAGTGAAACCAAGTGACTTCTGGCGAGTGTGCTCAAACAGTGACTGAAGGACGCGTCGATTCACAATTTAGTACCAATTATCTTTGTGCTTTGTGCCGGTGCGACACACCAACCACAAGCCCAGTGACGGCAGAAGGCGATAGTCAATAGATACCACCCGACAATTCTGGAGCCTCCGCCAAACCGACATAATCCATACTACGATCGGCAGAAAGGTCACGCAAAGCCACGGCGCCAAACAGACCATCACAGTGCTGCAAAGCTGGCTTCGTTCTGCACACACACCGACCAGAC